GGAGTTCGTCGTTTCTTTTGGGAAAAGAAGGATGAATATGAAGTCTACAGAGATGAATCTGGGCATGCAAGAGCAGTAAAGGGAGACATCATCCCTGTTACCAAAGAAGACATGAGAAACTTGCTGAAAAGAGCATCATTATTGGGACGCTCTTGTTTTTGTCTACTAGAGTATGCTGAAGCCTATGCTAAAGGAGTTCCTGATTGCAAGCTCTACACACAAGCCGAAGTCACACACATGCTAGATGCAAGAACCGGAGACCACAACTGAGAGAAAGCAGCCATGCAATATGAACATGAGAAAGACCTATCACGACTTCGAGGTGAACTACTCTGGAATACCACCAGCCTTGACTTAGTACGCTATGAAAGAGAAGCCCTACAAGAAGAAGTCAACACCTTGCGCGCACAACTGAGATCTCAGACACAGGCATCGATCGATACAGAACCCCCTGCGTCGATCGATACACCCGTCCATAACTCGATCGAGCACCACTTCTAGAAGCTATCGATCGATGACAAACCCAGTCCATCGATCGATACCCATGCTCCAGAACTCTCTACCAGAGAAGAACTAGAAGCAGCCACAAGAGATATCTACAGATAAATTGAGTTTTGTGGAGACAAAGATTACACATTACTAGACAGATATTGGTTTCCCCTACACAGTGACGTCAAAGGATTGCAGTGCACAATGGAAGATATTCAGAAGGAGGTATAAGATATTCAAAGACAGCTCGCCAGCCGACCTGACCCTACCCCATCGATCGATGAAGCAAACAACGCATCGATCGATATGCAACCTCCAGAATCGACCGACGATCCAACACACCATGATGCCATGCAGCGAACTACCGAACACATCTACAGCCTGCTTGGAAACCATCAGTACAGCCTTGCCAGCTTAGAAGAATTGTTGGGAAGGATCCAAGCTGAAGTTTATGGTTTGAAGACTAGTATGATCAGAAGTGAGAAAGCCACAAGAAGCTTTCTAACCTCATGGTTTGAAGAAACACAAGACAAGGAGGACACTTGTTTCCCAACAAGTACCTACAACCCACCTCACTAGCCACCATAATTACATAGTCAAGCTAACTGACTTCAACCAAGCGCTGAGTGGGAGGCAACCCACTGTTAGGTATTTTACTTATTTATTTTATTTTATTTTTACTTATTAGTTTCGTTTTTATTTGTTTTTAGGAAGATAGACACACGATCAATACCTATCGACCGATACGAACCAGTCGATATAGCTCGACACAGACCTACACGCATCGATCGACGATGGCGACTCACCATCGATCAATATCCATGTCGGTCAGGTATATCGTTCACCACTATGATATCAGTTCCACATTTAATTTTTCCTATTATCTTACTCTGACTGATTATACACTGGGGACAGTGTATGATTTAAGTCTGAGGGAGTTGATTACTGATGCTACTTTACCTCTTTTTGATCTTATTTATAAAAGTTTTCAAAAATTGGTTTTATTAAGTCAAGAAAGGGAAAAAATTTCAAAGTCTTACTTTTTATCTTACCACTCTTTAGCACCATTCTTAGATTTGTTGATTGCAGAAAGTACTATAGATGCTAAAGTGAATCACCGATCACCTATGTCAACACTTTCATGATTGTCTGGAAGAACCAAAGCTGATTTCCAACCTAACTGACATCTATTGCTTGTCTTGGGGTTTGGTATACAAGGGATCGGAATCCTCCTGCAAGTCTAGAAGGTAAAAGTCTCAAAAAATTTGGTTTCCTTCTTTCCTTCCTTCGGCATCCCCAGAGAATAAAAGACTGATGTGATTTCCTGAGAGGCAGAGGGAGAGGTACAGTACCTATGACCCCACTATTCTAAATCAAAGGAATGATCACAGCGAGGGAGAGGTACATTACCTATGACCCCACTATTCGCTTACACTTTGTCAAGAAAGATCAATAAGATGAACATTAACTGTTCATTAGGATTGATATAAAAAAAAAAAAGAGAGAGAGAAAGAAAGAGTTGGGATTCATAGAAGGGAGATAAAGAAAGAAAGGGAACCAGGATGAGAATGCCTGAAACTTATTTGAGTTGAATCCAAGTGTTCCTTGATCGATACTCCCAAGGTAAAGCCTACACCTTTATTTTTATGCATAAATGAAATCCGTAGAGGGGGTAAACAGACAAGGAATGTTTAAGTTGATTGGCTAGATGTATTTGGTTGCTAAGCTAGGATATGGTATAATGTACTTCTGTAGTTGACAGATATGAGATGTGGTTTGCAACAAAGTAAGAGGTGATGATTTTGAAGTTGAGATTTTGATTGAGTCCCTGCTATTTTTAAACTTCTTAACTTAAGGTTTGCTTGAGGACAAGCAAAAGGTTAAGTCTGAGGGAGTTGATATACCATGATTTTGACCCGTTTTTGATCATGGTATTGATATGTTTTTATTATAATTATCTATGTTTTGGAGTCTATTAGGTATGTTTTCAGGTTCAGGAGCACTTTGTGGTAAAGTGATGATTTATGTGTCTTATGGAGCTTAAATGAGAGTTTTACAAGATGACTATGAAGATCCGACGTTGAGAGACACATATCGATCGATACACACCCTGTGTAATCGATCGATGACGATTCCGTAGAAGTTGAAGTCGAGATACTCCATCGATCGATGTGCGCAATGTACCATCGATCGATACAGAGCGTGATGAGCAAGATTTACTTGGCCGACTTGAAGCCCAAGTTCTCACCGAATTACAAGACTGCCCCTGACGAGTTTTTAACCTAATTGTACTCCATATTTATAGTTATGCCTATGAGCCCTAGAAAGGAATCATTAGATCTATTAAGAAAGTTTTGTATTCTATTTCTACTTAAGCAATAAAGTATTTTCTTTTCATCTTATTCTTTTGCTATGAATCTCTTGGCTATGTCTGAGTAGATTCATCTGTTAGATTTGGGGTTCAAATAGTTATGAGGGATTAACCCCAACTATGGATTGTTGAGTTGTTTTATTCATTATCCAAATGAACCTTAATGCTTACTCTAGATTTGCTACCTAGAGTTATGATTATGGAGTGACTAATCTAATAGTCATTTTCCTGAAATCATTTGGCTAAGCCCAGACTCTATTAGGCACGATGCGACAGCCGGTCTTATAGAAATTCTCTGGTGAACACTATTTCAGTCCGATCTGATACTATATCGATCGATACTCCCATAGAGTCATCGATCGACGACAACATATATCGATCGACACTGCGATAGCAACACCGATCGATACTGTCGGCAATCAGATCAATGGATGAGTCTAATAGCGACAGCTATATATTTATCTAAGGACTGAAGTTCTCATATATTTGCAAGCAATTCATTAAGACAACCATAGATTTATAATCCTGATTTTCTGAATAGTAACTTTGAATCTAACTACTTTCTTTTATTGTTTTCAAACCCAAAAACTATTTTCCTTAGCAACTTACCATTGCTACTAACTTTTATTTATTTTTTGAAACCTTTTCAACCTAGCTTAATCACTTAGGATTATATCTTTTGTGATTCTAGTTCCTTGTGGATTCGATCCCTAAGTACTACGATTGAACCTCTTATTTGAGAGAGTAAATCACTCCTTAGGGTTAAACATTTGAGTGATATCATTGTTCCATTAGATATGGGTCAGGCTGTATACACGTGTCTTCACAGAGACTACAAAGTTACAATTAATGCTATTTTAAAGCTTCAAAGACCTATCGAAAAGAAATCCTGAGAGTAATCTGCTTGATATGTTTTTTTTTAAATCAAGAAAATTCCAGCTCATATTTCATTGGGGTAAAATTATGACCTGGTTGCTCCACATACATTGTGATATCATATTTTGATTGATTCATGAAATGAAGAAGCACATGTGCCTGTGATATCAGCATGCAATCAAATAAGAAACATTAGGCTTTAATTACTTCATTGCTACGGAATAGAGATATATAAGAAATTTAGAAAACCATCCCACATACATGAAAGACCGCTTTGATAATGTCATCTGAGTTAGCTTGATGCTTGAGCAGTGCATAGACTTTACCCTTGGTAAAGCTGTAAGTCACCATGTATCTTTTCTTTTTCTGCTAAGTAAAACGAAAATAGATAAAATATGGAGATTAAAAGGCCAGAGCTTGATAGTTGAGAAAGAGAAAAGAAATACAGAATCATACATCGGAAAAAGGTTTTGCTGCCAGATATGTATTGGGTTCTTGGAATGCATCTTTAAATCTGGCTCCTGCAAAATGATGGTATGAAAACATATTTTAGTACGGCTAACAAAAAGCCAAGAGTAAAGCTGTGCTATATAAACACATACCAAGCATCACTGGTCGATCCTCCACCCATGGAAAAGTAAATATCTTTTCTTGGATATTACCTTCCTGTAGTGAGGGAACCCGCCCTGCAAAATCCGTAGAAAGTTCAACTTATGAAGTTTAAGATGTGACTAACACTCATCTGCATTACGGTTATGAACGCTTGAGGTTTTGATGGTTTGAGTAAAGAGGAGAGAAATCGAGATTGAGCAAAGAGTGAGGAGATCGAGAAATATTGCGAGATAAAGAGTTTCAGTGATACATGACGTAGATCGATAGATATTGCTCGGCGATCGGCTTTAGGAGTCGTACTCATCTTCTCCGCTTCCGTCTCCATCGCTAAAACCAGATCCACCGCCACTTTCCTTCTACTCCGTCTCATCGTCCTTCGAGATTCTCGCCGGCGAAGGATTTCATCGACATCTTCTCAGATCTGGTCACATCGCTTGGAAGATGAAGTAGTGACTCAGACGAAGAACAGGAGGATGAAGTAGGAAACCTAAAACTCACTCATCTAAAAAAAGAAAAGTAGGTCCCACAAAATTTACATGAAAATCTGATTGGTTGATTAAATTTAGCTATGTGGCATCACTTTCCATTGAGTATATCTCACTTTTAATATAGTATATATATATAGATTTGTAGAAAATTGAAAAAAAGATATCTTGAATTTTTTACATAAAGCTTCATTCGACTTCCTAGTATCAGTTTTGATGTTTGATTTGCAAATGATGTTTTGGGTTCGACGGACTCTGTTTTTTGGTGTGTTTCACATTCTTTTTAGCGATTATTATTACAAAGACAAAAAAACCAAAATTGTGGTCTTTAGAGAACCGACCATCCACTGGTTCAGCGAACTAAATTTGTGTGTGAACCAGATAGTTGGGTATTAATCTGCCACGTTCCAATTCCAAGAGACAATGTCTTCTTGAATGGACTTGTCGAAGACCTGCAAACAAACAACTGAGAAGACATATAAGAAGACTGTTGTCCGGTGATTGTGGATGGATGAGAGGAGCAAACATTTGAAGTAATGTCAAGAGCAAAACTGGTAGAGACGTTGTGTTCTGAAATTCACCTTAGTGTTGTTGTTGTTGTTGTTTCAGATCAGTCCTGGTGGAATTGGCCAAAACACTGAAAATAGACACGAGTCCAGCGGTGGTAACAACGTGAGACCAGTTTCTAGTCCGAATAGCAACAGCTGCTCCAGCCACAGCTCCTCCGACCAAAGCATTCACCTGAAAAAAAGGTCCATCCAACTAATCAACATTTCCTACTGAATAACTCTCAAGGTCATGTGTGAACAAAAGATAAATCTCTGGACCGAACCCAATCACTCTTGCCTCGATATCTCTGAAGCGCACAGTTAGTCACCGTAAAGATACCACTCACAATACCTGGACGGAAGACAAAAAGAAAAACAACGGTTTACATGATCATCGATGCTGATATCAAATCTAAATACGAGAAGCAATCACTAAACCAAGAATCTATGACTAAGTAACATCTCCAATGTTAAGTAGACGAAAAAATCCAAAAACACTTAGAATAAGTATATGCAATTGGCCATCTACAAAATCCAAAAGGAGAAACCAGTTACAAATAAAGAGAGATTTACCGCATTGAAAGCCGATTCTGCCGATGGATTTGGCCTACAAAAATGAGAATCCAGTTGACATGAGACAATGGTTCGGTTTAACCGGAAGAAGAAAGTGAAGAGAGAGAGATTGGTTTACTTACGACATATGAAGCCTGAGAAACGCCGCTTAAACCTGGCGAAGCACACCACCAAAACTTTAACTCATCAGTAAGATGAATTGATCAAGATTCTTCTAAAATCTTAAAATAGATAAATAAAAAGAGAGAGATATCTTTAGTCATTATACCCAGTTTACGAGCGTTATGAGGTCCGGCGCAAAATCCATATAATCCACCGGCCTGAGTGAGCATGGACACAAAATCTGAATATCTCAGTCATGTGTGATAGATAGCAGATTCTAGAGAATTGGACTGAGGTTATTACCGTGGAAACGCGGATAACTGATTCGACGGCACGGGAAGAGCAAGGCACGCCGGACAGCAACTCTTCCTCCATTCTTCTCACGATACGAAACCCTTTTTCTGTTCCGTCAAGTTGGGGACGAAACCAATGTTAATTAACCAGACCGGGGCCGAATTAACTTCTGGTTTAGTTCGGTTTTCTTAAAGAACTAATTTACTTTCTTTATCTTATCTTATTCTCGTTCCTTTTGTTTGAACAAAAAAAAAAAAAAATTCTCGTTCCTTTTTGAAACCAAGAACGGAAAAAAAAAAATCAAATTATCAAATATGTTTCTATATTAAGATATCTTTGATGAACAATGTACAATCTATAAGATAAGCCACTAAAGTTAATAGGATTTTCAGTCATAAACAAACATATTGGTTAAGCTACAAAAGACAAAGAGGAACCACCGAACCAAAGCCAGTTCCAAACTTTGCCGGATAACTGCACCACCTTAATCAGATCCGTAAGTTATCAAAATGCTCCTCCGGTAGACCAAGATGGCATAACTCTTTTTATAACTTTGACTTTCTTATCTACAAAAAAAAAAAAAAAGAAGAAGACAACACTGCCAAGAGCAATATAGGAACATCAGATTTGTGTTTTTAGTAAATATAGTATAACTAAAAAAGACCAAATGAATAAATATTTGAGCAAATCTCTAAAATAACACATTTCTAAGTTTATGTTACAAAAATAACTCTCAAAACTAAAATGACCAAAATAGCATTTTTTCTTTTGAATTTTTTTTTTTTAAAATTTTTTTTTCAAAAATTGAAATCTTATCCTCACAATCCCACTCCCCAACTGTAAATCCTAAAACCTAAATTCTAAACCTTAAACCATAAACTCTAAACCCTAAGCCATAAACCCTAAATCTCATCCCTTAAATCTAAACCCTAATGTCTAAATTAATTTATCATTGGGATATAGATATATATTTATCTCTTCTGATAAAATATTAAATACTAGTTTGGTCATTCTTATTCTTAAATGCTATATTTGTGACAACAACTTTTTTAGTGTTATCCTAGTTATTTCTCTAAATTATTTCTTAACTCCTAAGAGGCTAACATTAAATAAACTAGATGCATAGTCCCCGCGCAAGTGCGGGGGTTGGATACGTTGTTGATGTTTTGTGTAGTTTTGTGTATGAGACTTTGCTGTTTTTTTTAACATTTGTTTATTTCGCTTATCTATAATGGTATGAATGAAACATTAGAAGTCACACAAATTGATTAGTCTGATAAAAGAATAAACATCGAACTCATATGGGTTGATATTTTCATATTTTTATCTTCGTAGTGATTTATCGAGCATTCCCTTTATTAGTGATTTTATCGAGCATAACTGTTATTAGTGCTTTCATGTAAAAAAATAATTTAGTGGAGACAAGACAAAAAGGACATGTGTTTATTAGTGTAATTTTATTTCTGAAATTATGTTGTATATATATATATATTTTTAATTGTGATGTATATGAGATTTATGGTCGATCTAAATGGTTCGGGGTAAATATTTATTATTGAAAAATATGTTTTTATTTTATTTGATGATTATAACTGAACTGAAATGATATTGGAGGTTAGAACATGATAACATTTCTTATAAAAGTATCTAAGATGGTCTCATAAAGTTTCAAATCCTTAAGCCATTTTGTATCCCAACAACCAGCATAAAAAATCATTCAGAATCACCCTAAGCTTTCAGATATCCCGAGAAGCCCAAATTTAAAAAAAAATTACATGTAAGCACTACGTTTTGAACCCGCACACTCAAGCTACCAACTTCTCGTCACCAACTTACACCACTGGACCATTTAATCACTCATTGATAACATTCAATCTTACAAAATGTTATACGTTTTTGTTTTCCCTAATAAAACACGCGGAGCCCGTAAACTTGCTGACGTGGACATGCTGAGGAGCTTCAAAAGTGTACTATTATTATATAGATTTTCGTAAATATAACCATTTATTTTTAACTTGGCCTTTGTCTCCTTCGGACGCTTCTCTTATTCTACCAATGAACAATCCACAAAGGCAGCATAATAACAAAGCTTCTTTTCCAACTAATTATCCAAAAACTATGTATCGAGTAAATATATAGAGCAACCAATGTGCAACCTGTGGTACTGGATTCTCTATCTCTATCTCAAGACAGGGAAAGTCGTTATCAGGTCAGTATATCACTACAAGAAAACACGGAAAATCCCGACAGAAATTCCGACCGAAAAAAATCCGTCGGTATATTCCGACGAAAACCCGACGAAAATTCGTCGGAAAATAATTTCGGAAACTTCGTCAGTTTTCCGTCGGAATATACCGACGAAATCGGTTCGTCGGTTTTCGGTCATATAATCCCGATGAAAAACCGACAAAATGCCGATGAAAATATAACCGTTGAAAAAAATTGATAAATACTGACGAAATACCGACGGAAGAAGATAATCGTCAATAATCCGTCGGTATTTCGTCAGAATTTTCCGACGAAATACCGACGGATTATGTAGCCGTTAGTAACCGTTATAATTACCGACGAAATACCGACGAATTTTGAACGTTAAGGTAACCGTTGTAGTTTCCGACGGAATACCGACGGATTTTTCCGTCGGGATATTTCCAGATTCACCTATAAATACGACCTCTCCTTCATTCATTCAAATCACAACAAACCAATATAAATCATGGGTACTCCTTATAATTTTCGTTCTTGGATAGATCAACCTCATATGGATCCAAATACAAGTTTACTTACTGAAGAATATGCACGTGGTATTCAAGAATTCATGGCGGTGGCTCAAAGTCAACCGGAAGCAAGAACAAGTAAGTATTTATTATGTCCATGCTCATCTTGTAAGAATAATATTCGTGTCAAAAGAATGGAAGTATGGAATCATTTATATCTGAAAGGGTTTACACGTGGTTATAAGATTTGGTATCTTCATGGAGAAAGATTTGAGTATGGTAGTAGTAGCGAACCTCAAACTGCCGATAGGTTAGATGAACCTAGCACGAATGTAGATTTTGGGGTAGGGACTGTTCAGATGGTATATGATGCATATAGAGAAAATTTACCGTCGGGTGAAGAGGAAGGAGATAGACAAGAACAACCCAATTTAGAAAATTGGCCGTCGGGTGAAGAGGAAGGAGATAGACGAGAACAACCCAATTTAGAAGCCAGAAGATTTTTTGAAATGTTAGATGCAGCTAAGCAGCCATTGTATCAAGGATGTAGAGATGGGCATTCAGCTTTATCATCTGCAAGTCGATTGATGGCGCTAAAGACTGACTATAATTTGGCTGAAGAATGTATGGATGCGATTGCAGATTTTGTTAGGGATGTTCTACCTGAAGATAATCTTTCACCTGGTTCATATTATGAGGTACAAAAATTGGTCGCTGGTCTTGGCTTACCATATCAGGTGATAGATGTATGTATTGATAACTGCATGATTTACTGGAGAGCAGATGAGAACCGGGAGATATGTAAATTCTGTCGAAAACCTCGTTATCAGGATACGAGTGGAAGAGTTCGGGTGCCATACAAACGAATGTGGTATTTGCCTTTGACTGAAAGATTGAAGAGGTTATATCAGTCAGAACGAACAGCAGCACCAATGAGATGGCATGGAGAGCACTCTACAAATGGTGAGATAACACATCCTTCCGATGCAGAGGCGTGGAAGCATTTTCAGTCAACATATCCAGAATTTGCATCGGAGGTAAGAAATGTGTATCTTGCACTATGCACAGATGGTTTCAGCCCATTTGGAAAGCATGGAAGACAATATTCATTGTGGCCGGTAATCGTGACACCTTACAACTTACCACCACATCTATGTATGCGACGAGAGTTTTTGTTCCTCTCAATTCTCGTTCCCGGGCCAGATCATCCTAAGAGATCACTGGATGTGTTTCTTCAGCCATTGATACATGAGTTGCAGTTATTATGGGAGCACGGTGTTCATACATACGATGTTTCACGGAAGGAAAATTTTCAGATGCGAGCAGTACTTATGTGGACAATAAGTGATTTTCCAGCATATGGTATGTTATCTGGATGGACCACGCATGGAAGGCTCTCATGTCCTTATTGCCAAGACAACACGGATGCTTTCCAACTAAAAAATGGTCGGAAAACATGTTGGTTTGACTGTCACAGAAGATTTCTACCACCCGATCATCCATATCGTAAGAGTAAGACATTGTTTACGAAGAACAAGAGGGTGTTTGACGGTCCACCTGAAGAAGTAAGTGGCAAAAAGCTGAAGGAACAATTAAGAGATTTTGGTGCAGATAGAACGCCAGACGTGGGTGGAAACGGACATGAACCGATTGATGGTGTAGGGGAACATCATAATTGGTATAAGAAGAGTATCTTTTGGGATTTGCCATATTGGGAGACTCATTTGTTGCGGCACTGTTTAGATGTCATGCATATTGAAAAGAATTTTTTCGACAACTTGATGAACACTATCCTTGATGTCCAAGGCAAGACGAAGGATAATTTGAAGTCAAGACTGGATTTGGTTGATATTTGTGATCGTCCTGAACTTCATGTTGATGAGCACGGTAAAAGTCCTATTCCAATATATCGACTGGATGCAGCTGCGAAAGAAGAGTTTTTTGATTGGATAACGCACAGTGTTAAATTTCCAGACGGTTACGCATCAAATTTGCGTAATTGTGTTGACAAGAGTCAAGGGAAGTTTAGTGGCTTGAAGAGCCACGATTGTCATGTAATGATGCAGCGCCTCCTTCCTTTTGCGTTTTCCACACTATTGCCACGAAATGTTCATGAAGCAATCGCAGGTACTTTAAAATTTAACATAGTTAATTAATTGTCAGATTATTTTTAATGCTTATATTGAATTTGTTTTTTCTTTTGTGTATGTAGGGGTAAGTGCTTTCTTCCGTGATTTATGCTCGAGATCACTCACATCAGATGGTATTCGCAATTTGGAAGTTAAAATACCGGTGATCCTTTGCAACCTCGAGAAGCTATTCCCTCCTACCTTTTTTGATGTTATGGAGCATCTTGCTATTCATCTTGCGAGAGAAGCGGCACTTGGTGGTCCTGTGCAG